TATCCAGTCACTGGTGATGTCTTTCTGTTTGCTGAGATGAGAGGAAAAAGAAAGAAACGGGCCTTTCTTTTGCTATGTAAAATGCATTTCAGTACAGGAACTGGACTGGAAAAGATGGAGGGGTACAGTTCTTCCCACAAAAATTCAGAGACAGGAGAAAAATTAGAATTTTAAGTAGTGGCTTAGGTTGCAATAATAAGTGCAGTTTTCCTTCTGCCTTGAAGCAGGAGTGGTGTGGTCTAACTAATATAGTTTCCTGATAATTTTCTGCTTAAAAGAAAAATAAATCAGTACTCAGAGTAACACTGAAAGTTTGTTTTGCCTAACAGCTGAAATAGGAACCCAGTGGGCATAAAGCCTCTAGGCAGAGGCACAGCTACCAACTCTTTGCATACTGCTGGTTATGGTTAACCAGCCTCTGGGAGACACAGGAAGTCTATGGGGAACTCAGCACAAGCTGAAGTGTTAAGACACCTATTCTTTTGTCTCAAAGTATTTCCTGAGCTGTGAAGTAATGATTAGCCACTCACCACATGGAAGTGTTATGAACATCAATATTTTTTAAAATTAGAGCACTTAAAGAGTGCTGGTAATAGGGGAAGTACATGTGTAAAGCAAGGAGGGAGCTAAATTCTTTTGGTTTTGAAGCAAAAAGAAATAATACGGTTTTTGTAACATTTATTGTCTTTGTGGAGTAAAAATCCAATTTTAATATGACAAAGAGACTGCTGGCTAGCAGAGAAAAGGATTAATGGCACCTCACACTGAGACAGAGATATTTGGAAGTAATTTGTTTGGTCCTGCTGATTTTTGTGGCAGTGAAAAGCTAAGCTGCTTCTCTCATTAGAAAGCGTGCCCACAGGGAGTGCCAGACAGCTTTTCTGCCACTCCAAATTAATCATGCAGATTGTTCTTCTGCCAAGATAATATCCTTAGGTACACTTGTAAACTCAAGTAGGTTCTGTTGAGAAGTGAACAGAATTAACAAAATACATAACTATTGTAATAACTGGAATTATGTGGATTCAGTCTAAAAATAGAATTGGGCTTTTTTTTTTTTTTTAAAGCCTGCATTAATTAGTCAATGATGGGAAAACCAACTAAATATAATGGTAAATTTTCTACGCTAAAAATAAGTTGTCATCAGCTTCCAAAAAAGGCTAATGATTTACAAGGATACTGGAACAATGCAATTTATCATGATTCCTTTGCTGCATGTAAAAATTACTTGAATATGTCTTTAATGTATTTTTGAATCCTTTCAGTAGCATCCTCTCCCCCAACTGATGATTTTAAGGATGTGACTAGAAGAATAAAAATCTGTAGGGTAATATTTGTTTAATTACTTCCAGGCCTAGGGCCAGTTGCAATCCCTGATAATGGAAACAATGTCAAAATTCTGAATGATTAATTACAACATTTCCGGCAATATCCTGCAGAGATGTAGCAGACTCTTCCCCTTGTCTTGCAGCTCGGTCATTTCACATCCTGAACGGCTAAAGCGGAGGACAGCATAGCTCAGTATTTATGTGGGAATCTCCCAAAGCAAGAGTGTACTTAAGCAGGAAAAGGGCCTAATGATGACTGATGTCAGGCTTCTCACTAAGCTGAAGTGGTAAGAATTATGCAGCTAAGACTTTGGTTTTATTTTAATTCAGCTAAAGTTTGTTTTGGTCACATGGTCTTAATTAATATACTGTTTGTTTATGAATTTCAAATTTATCTAAGTGCTTTTTGTCTTTTAACTAACTTCATATCAATTGCCTTTGTCATTTATTGTGATGAACTATGATCTTCTCTTTATTGATTAAGTGGCTCCTAGTTTAAGTAAAGGTGAAATACCTCCATATATATACCTGATATGTATATGTACTTCTGGTTTTGGAAGAAGTATGGGTTGAAAGCAAACTAAAAGTCAGAAAACAGTCTGTAAAACAGTTGTTCCCATGTTTAAGTTAAAACACTAATAAAGCCTCTGCAGGGAAGAAATAGGCTTTACACTTGACTTTTTAGAATCCTGTAAAATGAAAACCGTATAAAATGTGTTATGAAGATTTTTATCCTAAACCACACAGACTTTAAGCTTACATTGTTGTTGTTGTTAAATTATTTTAAAAAATAATAATATGTCCAGAATAGATTTAGAAACACTTGCTGGCTTCCCAGGAATATCGGAAGCAATCGTTCCTCCATTTCCCTCTAGTGCATATAAATTGTACAACTGTTCCCCAGCCTGTTTTGTTTACTTCACCTGAAGAAGCAACATCTATGGGCAGTATCTCAGATAATTGTGAACAGCATCCTTTGAGGCAGATTTTGTGTTAATTCTCTAGGGATCTTTCTACATTGCACAACGAACCTCCAAGACCTGAGCTAGTTGTGAGCGAACTGATGCAGCTAAATGGTCCATTGTGCTTCCATGCACGAACACTAGGCTGGGTCCCAGGAACAGTGTCACTGTGTCTAACCAGCCTTGCTTCTCCAAGTCTACTTGTTAACTTCTGGAGATGAATAATTAGCCAGACTGCAGTGGTGCTGTGGTGCAGTGATAGTGTCCTATCCCAGTGCTAGCTTGTTCAAAGCCTGCTCAGTAATACCTTTTGATTGCTCCTCTTTATAGTGTACATGTGCTCTTAAAAGGCAGGTATAGCCCAGAGACTGCTGTGATAACACCTGTCCTATTTTACACAGTATTTCAGAACAGCCTCTCAACCTGTTCTGGAGGTTGTGAAGTTGCTCAGAATCTCTGTAACATCCCCCAGCTCCTGACACTTGCTCTACCTGAGGGCTCATAAAGGTGTTTTTTGAAGACAGCTGCATGGAAACAAGGAATCCTGTTTGTCCTGGGAAAACCTCTAATTGCTAGAATTAGGCTTTTTAAGCATTACTGAGAAGCTAAGTATTGTATACCTATGATACAGGCTGCAGTCTCCTTTTCCTAAAATGTCTACAAATCACCATAAAATATTCAATTTTCATACATTGCTCTGAATTGAAAACAAATCCAGACATGTTGCGAATGTTGTTCTTGCACAATTTGCAGAAATAGGAGTAATTAGTTAATTCTTAAATTAGAGTTAAGTAAAGGAACCTGAGGGTTTATGTATCAATCAACAAACCACAAATATATATATTACACATTGAAACTCTTGATGTATGTTTCATGCAATGAAAGGCCAGTATTTCAAATCTAAGTGCCAAGTAAGTGCCTGACTTTCAAAACTTCTGAATCTATAGACTTAGAATTTAGGGTCAATTTTCCAGTAGATTAATTTTCAATACTGTATTGGGGCTTCTAAAGTTGAAAATTTCAACTCTGAAGTTGTTGTTCTAGGGTTAATTTTTAGATAACTAAACTGAAACAGTTGGAAATATGAGTTTTTCTGAAATGATCAGGAAGTGAAAAATCCTGTCTCTCCAAAAGCTGGCAACAAATTTCAAATTCACTAAACTGATCATGACTCCCACCCCTGGTGTTTAAAGGTTCAGTGTACATTCTCAAAACGATGCTTTTTAAAAAAAATAACGTGCCAAATCAGGCATCTGAAACCAAAGGTGCCAAGATCATTGTGTGCTTTTATAAACCTTGGACATGGTACAATATGGATTAATGTGTGATTAAAAACTGTTGAAATGCCTCTTTCTGAAATTATTACATCTGCAGCAAGTTATAGGTATTAATTTAAAAGAGATGTATTAGAAAACATACAAAATGAAAATTTTTTAAAAATTTTTACTTAATTGTGTTTTAAACCTGTTATTATATCATGTGATTAAATTTTTTAAAGAATTGTATAAAGATATGTGACAAGCTTGTAGCTAAGCAAAAGGCTGATTGATCTTTACAGCATTTAATGGAAACTGTTTTTTCCTAATCCTGAAAGCCATGTAAGTTGAGTGAATTCAAATATACACTTATTAATAATTTTGATAATTTACTTATTTCTACTTCATTACCCGAATCCTCAAAATGTGTTCTGCTTGCTGAATATTTTCAGTAATGTATGCAGTCTGCCAAGTGACTTAATGTGCCAGGCTTCAACTGAACTGTGCTCACATGTGGAATTTCATCATCAGAGTCTAAAATCTGTGGGGTTTATGACCACCAACTTCCTAAAACACACAGCATGTGGCACATTTACTCATTTTGTGGATCCTCACGGACTCAAATGCTTATCTTGTATGAATACCTCTAACATTTCCCTCTGGAAGTTACATTGATCTGTGAGCTCATCTGCTTATTTTGATGTTCTGATGTTAATATTATTCTAATACAATAATTTCATATCCATTTGAAAAAACTTGTGTTTTCCTTTCATATGGAAAATAGAACTAAACCTAAATTAAGTGTGATGCCAAGGAACATTACTTGACAGGTGTCTTGGAAATGAAAAAATAATTGGATTTCTGTAATTTTTTGTTTCATGATACAGAGACTTGGCAGTATTTATTGTTATTACACTGAGGTTTTATTGCAGCTTATAAAAATGACTTCTACGCAAAAATGAGAGGAAAATCAAGAAATGCCTGGAGAAGGCTTTCAAAACGTTTCCTTTCTATTAGCAGCTTCATAACACCTTGGTGGAAAAATAATCTTTGATAAGGATTTAACATTCGTCCTTTCCTAGCTGCTGAGGAAACTCCCTGTTACAGTCAACAATATGATTCATCCGACTACTCCATCAAAAATGGGCGCTTTTCTTTTCTCCCGAGTTGCCAGCCTCGCATCTCAATTTCTGATTTACCTATAGACCTGTGGTGTACAAAATAGGGCGGTCGCTGTGTATTTCTCGCTGCCGGCGCGGTGCCGGGGCGGAGGGTGCGAGGCCGGGCCCCCGCCGTGACTCAGCGTTTCGGGGGGCACGGTGGCCCCGCGGCCGGGCGGGACACAAAGGCCCGGGGCCGCCGCCTCGTTAATCAGTAGCTCGCTCGGCGCGGCACCTTCGCCCCGCGGCCGCTCCCGTCCCGGCCCCGCCGCTCCAGCCGGACCCGCCCCTCTCCCAGTCTCCTCCGCGGCTCCCTCTCCCGAGCCAGGCGGAGCTGGAGCTTGGAGCGACGTCGTTCTTCGCCGCTGCTGCCTCTTCGCACTGACCGAGGGCACCGGCGCTGCCCGGGGGGGACTCTTTCTCCGGCCGCCGCCCGACGCCTCATCCCTGCCTGTGCCGAAGCCGGCACTGCCCGCGGAGCAGCCATGAGCTGGGGCACGGAGCTGTGGGTGAGTCCCAGCTCGCCTCTCATTGTGTCTGAGATTCGCCGCCTTCCCTTGTCTGCTCGGGCGGCCGCGCCGGGGAGGCGTGGAGCGGCCGGAGCGCAGGCGGCGGCCGAGGCGCGTTGCTTTGTTCGGCGCGGGGGCCGGGCGGGGTTCGGCGCGGGGGCGGCGGTGCGGGCGGCGGGAGCGCCGGGCCGAGGGGGCCGCGGCGGGGCGGGGGCGCCGCCTGAGCGGCCATGGCGCTCCCGGGGCGGCCCCTCCGCCCGCCCGGGGCGGGACCGACGGGATCGGCGCTTTGTGCGCCCCCCGCCCGTAGAGCAGAGCGCTCGGGGCTCGGCCGGCACCGTGCTCCGGGACGGCCTGGGGCGGGGTCCCGGCGCCGCTCGAGCAGCGGCCGCAGTCCGCACCGGGCACCCTCGGGGCGGCGGGGCCGGGCGGCCGCGGAGCTGCTGCTCCTCCGAAAACCAGCGGGCTGCTCGGGCGAGCAAAGCGTTTTGAGTTGTCGGCCCTAATTAGAAGCAGCTATTCTGTAGCTTTGTCTCTAAAAGTGCCCTCGAACATTGGCTAACACTGCACTGTATTTGTTTTAAATAGGAAGAATTGGCAGTAAGGAGATGGGCAGTGTGTGCGCGCCAATGTCTGCCTTGCGTTAGGTCTTTCCTTAAGCCTCCCGTCTCCCTCCACAGAGTTTTTGGCTGTGCCGAGGGCGGCAGAGCAGGGGCTTCTCCCCGGGGAGTGCCGGAGCGAGGCACAGCGATGTCTGCTCGCAGTGGTGGGATGTTGTATCTCCTCGGCCGGGTTTCCTGCTGCTGCCGCTCTGCCTGGAGCTGACACTGATCGTGGGAAAGCGTGGGCACAAAAAACAATACTACCAAGGGAGGGTTTAACGTCCCCGTTTTAAATGCCGCCTGCCCTTCATTTTATTTGCTTTCAAAGACTGTGAAGCACAGACACTTGTGCTAAGGAAAAAGTAATTACACAAAGCTGAACATTGCAGCTTGAAATCTGTTCAGGAACTCTTAAACTGGACCAAGCATTATAGGTTTTTTGGGGTTTTTTTTTGTTTTTTGTTTTTTTTTTTAAGTTGAATTAAAAACCTTTATCAGCATTTTGTAGTACAGGGCTATTAGTCTCTAGAGGAGCAAAGATTGCTCCACGCCGAGACAAGTGGTTGCCCGAGGAGCCAGGGCAGCCGTGGCGCTGCAGGCAGGGGCTGGGTGGGGCATAGGGAGCTGGGAATGCCACCTCCAGAGCTCCTCAAGCCACCTGAGGAAGTCATGTCTGACTATACAAAATGAAGATGTAATAGTATTGCATCAAGTATACTGCGTGGAGAAGCCTGATTTAAAGGTATTTAGGGGTTATTTTAGTGTTTTGCATAGTACCTTGTACTCAGCTAGGATTTGTAGGCACGATGAGCTTTCAGATAAAATACACTTGGGAAGTACTGATAGCAGTGCTGTAAGAAGCCTGAAATATAAATCAGTTGTAACATTGATGGTAAGGAGTAAGTAAAAGCTGTGGTTTATATTGGCTGCACAAGCTCATACTTGTCTATTCTTCAGGTGAGAGGTGTAGGTCAGTGTCACTTCAGAAGAGTAAGGTTTGTCATTTGAGGTGAGCACTGAATTTTCTTCTGTAAGCACTCATGTATGTATTGCTTTAGAAAACAGTTTTAGCTTACTCTTATCTGCTCATTTTTGTAGCCTCTTAAATGTATTTTTCTTTGTTCAGCTTGTGAGTGACCAGTTGAAGGTTTTGTAGTTTGTCTGGTGTTCAGTTTTGTACAAACGTGCATTTCTTTGTCATGTGCTTCAGAAATATATACATAAAGATGGATTTTGACCTCAGACTTCCTTTTAATGACAGGCATTTAATTCACAGTTTCATGAAATTAGCTGAAATTTATCTTGACCTATTAGATTTTTTTTTCTAAGTCACTAATTCCTATGTGCTACTTTGAAGAAATAATGGCAGAATTTTAAGCTAAAAGTTTTACTGCAATACTTTTATTTCAGCAAAATTTAGTATATTTTTTTCCTTGGTATCAGGAGCTGACCTGCAACTCTACACTAATGAGATAACTTCACAGTTTGTAACTGTACAACTAGACTCTGACAGTGCAAGTTTTGACATTACAGTGTACCTTTTAAATTTTTTTTTTTTTTTTCTTGTTGAATCTAATCTGAATACTTAAATCTATTAGGGTTATGAAGCAAACTGATTTCTTATTTGGAAAAATATTAAGTGCTTCTCTTACTGACTGTAAAGAGTACGAAACATTAATTGTTTTAACAACTTACGCTGGGCACCTAAGGATTACTTTTTCAAGATCTGGCACAATATTAAATTTATTAAAAATTAGCTTAAAACTAGGTTAACACAAAGAAAAACAGTATTTGTGGATCTTCAAAGACAGGGCTCTGAACAAGGAATAAATAAACTGTTAGACGTGTTTGTGTTCTACTCTAACTGTTCCTTCATCGTCTCCTGTTGCTGCATCAGCAGAGCTTCAGGAGGAGCCTGAACTGCTCTGGGTTTGCTCATGGCAGCAGGGCATGAGCAGCAGCTTGCTGTGTTCGGAGTCTCCAGGTGCAGAGAGCTGTTCTGCACAGGTTTTCTGGAGACCTCGTTGGGCCTAAGGCTTTCCTTCATTAGTGCTTTCACTTGTCATCATAGAGTGGAATTTTTTCAGGATTAAATCTGGTATCTAGATGATAGTTTTTCAGAACATTTGCAGATACGTATGTATCCATTGCTGATTCACTGAAGCAAATTTGATGATTGTGTATCAGGTGTTTTAGTATCTCCTTAAATCTGCCTTCTTAAATTGTATCTCTTCATGCTGTTGTTTGGTATTTTATGCTTATTCACAGTTCTGATGTATATTTTTATTGTTCCGGAATCTTTATACTGTATAGTATTTCTGATAAAGTAAAAGGTGGGCATGAGTGAATATGGAGACAAATAAGAAACCAGAAGAAAATTCAGGTGATTAGGAAAGCAACTCATGTCTGGTATTTATGGGTTACTTGTTTAATATGGCTATTCTGGTATTGAAATGATACATATGCTAATTAAATAGTTACATCAGGGACAGGACAAGGGAAAGATATTCTTCAATTGTCCAGTATTTTTTAATTACTTAAATTTGGTAGCTGCTCTTTCTGTTTGTGGATTTTGGTTTTTTACTTTTTGTTTTTCAAGCAACTTTTTTTAAGTACACCACCATTCTCTAAAGTGGGTGTGCTCTGTACAGAACATATATGTCTTGAGTAGGCTAAAGTGCTTAGAGACACTTGGCGCTTTTCGGTGTGTCTTGGCTGAACAGCATGCTCCCTGTTTTGTTCCTTTTGATAGCATTTTATAAAATAATGTAAATGAATAGTAGTAAAATAAATGTTGAATCCTCTAAGCAATTCTGTCATTAGAACTGTTTCATTCCACAACATTTTCTGTGCAGTGGGAAATATGCTCCCCTTTCTGCTTTCTTATTACAACAGAAAATTCTGATTTGAAAGTAATATTCCTCAAATAGTTTTGTTCTCATCAGTGTATATATCTTTGTGGTCGCTCTGCAGCATATTCCTTATGGTATGACCACGCAAAACCCAAGATACTTCAGTGAACTGCTTTGCATAATATTCACTTAATGGTTAGAACAGAGTAGTGAGAACTGGGAAGTCTTGTATTCTGTAATCCAGTTGAAATTATATTTTCTGAAAATTTGACTGTCGTGTGCCAGATTTTTCTATCTATAATATTTAACTTTTTCCTAGTTAGCATTTGTGAAGCAGTAATCATCTGATGAAAGGGGGCACACAATCACAAGTTAGCATTGCTACACTTCATTAGTGATAGAAAATTGTCGTTATTTACATACACTTTTCAGAATTAACACTTTGGGTTTTTTCATGCCTTTTTCAAATGCAGCACACTTATGTTCACCTCATGAGCAGTAAGAAGTTTTACACATTGAAGTTCTGGTCAGACTTGCATATTTGCTTTATAAGGTGCCCCTGTCTGACTTCTATCAAACTGTGCTGCAATATCCAAGTCAAGATTAGATGAATGGAACTAAAATTGTGGTGTTTTTTTTTTTAGTAACTTTAAATATTTGGAAATAAAAATGATGGATTATGATATGTTTTAGAATCTGCTCAGCATGAGCATCTGTTCAGTGTGTATGTTTCTGTGCATCTGGAGTTCTTTTTGTGATGGGTGTGAAGTGTACAAATAGCATTAACATAGAATATTTAACAAAATGTGTCTGGTTATTGTCATCTTGAGTTATTGTGCTGTTAAATTGAATATGTAGTGCATTTGCTTTGATGCTAAAGGCTCACTGAGCTTTGGAGGCTTGAGCATAGTTGATACTGAAGTTCTTGGCTTAATGAGTGGAGACACTGTGTGATTGGCACTCTGAAGTAGCTTCTTTAATTAAAGAGTTTGTGCTGTCTCTTTAAAAAGAAACCAATAGAAAGGATGTTTTTTGACTTTGGATGCACGTTCTGTCTTTCGAACCTCTGTGAACCCCTTAACAGCAGTTGGCAGAAAAAGGGTTTGAATACTATGTCAGAACATTTTCAGTCTGTAGAACCAGTCTAGCCATCTGTTTCTCACCTCTTGATAAATATTTAAAGCAGAAATTTTGCTGAGGGCTTTTGCGCTAAGATTTCATGATTAAAAAAAAGAGGCTATAGAAGATTTAATGATACTATTGTTGTGAGCTCCTTGGGGCCAGAAGCACACCATCTTTTATAATTAAGAAACCACTGGCACCGTAGAATAGTATTTTAGAAATTAGTTATGTTGGACCAAAGAAAGATCAAAGTATATTTGGTGATGTGCTCTTTTTAATCTTTTCTTAAACAAAATTTATTCTGTGCCTAAACCCTAGTTCTATTTATAAAAATATTAAATAACTCTCAGTTGCATGAGTAATTTTTCAGAAGCTGTTAAAAATTTTCTTGTACTTTCAATGCCTGCTTCAGATATTGTTTCCT